ATATATACATTAACATGACAAGAATCTTAAAGATATCTTAATTACACAGAGCAGGCTAAATGTTGATAATCAGATGAACATCTCACATGTTGCAGGTTTGGACGATAAGGAAATGTATTCTATTGATGTTACGTGGCACAAGGAAAAGAGTGTTTTTGTCTGATGTGTTTGATCTTATCTCAGTATTTGTGGCCCACAGCGGTTCAGTGGGAACTCAAACTGGGAGCAGTTATCATAACAAAGACCTGTAAGATGAACTCAGGTGCAGGAGAAGAATCCAAACAGCTGCAGGGCACGCAGGGTTTAATTAATAGTCCAGCTCATTAGGTCTGAGGACCCAAACCACTGAGGTACCAGTTTGTGGTCTTGTGATGAACACACCGTCGCGCCTATCTGTCTGAAAGGAGCCTTTACTTCAGTGTGTGTCTGAAGAGGAAACGTCCTGTTACCTGTTGTTGAGGCAACACAATGATTTCCTCATCCAGCCTCTAACAAAATAAACTCTGTAGTGTTTTTCATTCTTGGTTCAAGAGAAATGCAGTAAAATTCATTTTTAATGGAAACCAGAATCAGAATCCGTAAAAAAAAACTGCAAAAACAAATTACTACAAAATCCAATTACCCTTTTGATTTTTATATTTTACAAAACACTACTCTTATTCTTTGTTGTGGYGTCGAATGTAACAATAGGAGAATCTTTATTAAATTTGTTTATTACATTGCCTGACCAATAAAAATTTTAATATGCAACTTTTCTACTTTGGATGCATGACAAATAAAAAAAATGCTAAAACTGTTATAATAAAAATTTGTGATCTCTTTAGGTTCATATCTTCAGACAGCATGACCAGAACAAGTCATCAGTTTAWTACAAACTTTTTTATCATTGTTTAAAAATGTTCACATAGTTATGCATTTTTACTGGATTGTTGTTGTTGTTTTTTTATTACATTTTTTATTTTACTTTTTGTGAGAAGGGCCTCTAAAGAAACTGATGCCATGCCTTTAAAATTATATTTGAGGTTTCAATATTTTTTCCAGACATTCACAATTTTTTCTATGTCTGAATACACTAAATTTCTTCGCTTGTGTCTTCACTATTTTATAACACTATACGTTAAAGCAGTGAAGAAATAACGAAGTAAATGTGATCACATCAAAGTATCAGAACACCAAAAATTAATGACCTGAATAGACACTTAGGTTCTGACATAAACTTAAAAATGTCAGACTGTGAGTGGTACTGAAGACACAGGACAAGTGTTTTTATTTACAGGTGCGGCAGTGGTCATCTATCTGAAAAGGAGGGGAAGAGTCCAAGGTAAGTCCAAAACATTTGAGAAGTTTATGATGAATATTGCAATGAATAATAAATCTTCTTTTGCTTACAGGTTTTTAGAAGATGAAGAGGCTCCAGGAGGATGGTTAATCCAAAGGTGAATAGACAAATCTTCAGGCAGAGTGGCACGTAGCAAAAAAACACCCAAACAGTGAAATCCTTGTTGTGATACGTCCTGTGGCAGAGTTTCCAATGGCGATCCTGGTAAGGGGAACTTTGTGGTGGTGGAACCTTTAACAAAGATACCAAAAGGTAAGTAACTATAATACTTTTACTTTAACTTTAACTTTTACTTTAACTTCAGCTCAGTGGCTTCTATACTCTACCACAGTGATCCCCAAACTACGGCCCGCGGGCAGAATCCGGCCCGCCTCCCCATTTGGTCCGGCCCCCAGAACAATACCAGAGAGCATTTAATTTTTTTTCATATACATGTATTTATATCTGAATAATAAAGTTGGACTTTTGCAATAAAATGTTCCTTAGTTATGAACTATTTTCATTATTAACTATTACTAGCTAGTAACTATTTCATACATACACGCATATGACGTGACATTCTGTTCCACCCTTCTGCGGTCTGTGCCCCTATCTGGCAACCCCCAGAAAAAAAAAATCCTAAACCCGCCCCT